ATTAATCTTCTTCAGTATTCTTTAATGGACATTATGGAATACCTTGCATATCTGCTCCTATCTTATGAGGACAGAGTTGCTTTAGACAGTGAGTTACAGCAGTACCTCTGTTTAATAACTAACCTAAATACTCACCTCTGGCATTCTCGGTGCTGTAATGCTAATTACACAAAATAAACAGAGATGAAATGAAGGCTGGGCATCCAATCCTTTTTCAAGATTTCATTTGGGATGCAAAACATAGCTGATGGGAGTGGGAATTACCACCATGTCCACACGCAAACCATGAAAAGGTGATTTTTTTTTCTTTTTCTTTACGCTGATAACTTGCAATTTAATGGTCATTTCAGACAAGGAACCAAGCTCACACACTGCTAACCCCACATCTGAGCTGGAGCTGGGTGTCCCCTGGCTGCTCGGTCCTCAGGCGGTCCTCACCCATTCCCCCCGCCTCCACCCAGCTGAAAACGCAGAACGTTCTCCAAACTTCAGCCCCAAGGCCTCCCCCGTAGCGGGCCGGGCAGCGCGCCATCCCCCCGCAGGGGGCGGGCAGGGGGCGGAGCGCGGCGGGAGGGCTCGGCAGAGTCGAATCGAGACGGGCCGGGCGGCGTGGAGCTGGGGCCGCCTAGGGGGAGCTGCTGCACCTGATACACCGGGGCGGGAACTCAGCGAGAAGGGAGGGAGTGGCGCCGGCTGCCGCTTGCTGCCTGCCGCCTGCCAAAGCCGCTCCCCGCCGTTAGTCAGCGCTCCTCCCGCTTCTCCTGCCGGCTGCCGGGGCTGTGGCTCCTGTTCCCCTCGGGGCCGGCGGCAGCGCGTCCTCCCGCTCCTCCTCCCTCCTTCCCCCCGGCCCCATGGCTTCGTCTGGCAGCGGCATGGAAGAGGTGCGCGTCTCGGTGCTGACCCCTCTGAAGCTGGTGGGACTGGTGTGCATCTTCCTGGCGCTGTGCCTGGATCTGGGCGCCGTGCTGAGCCCCGCTTGGGTGACGGCGGACCACCAGTACTACCTGTCCCTGTGGGAGTCCTGCCGCAAGCCCGGCAACTTGGAGAGCTGGCTCTGCGAGTCCACGCTGCACAGCGGTGAGTGCGAGAGTGACACGCGGGTGTCCCCGGCCGCCTCCCGGTGCTCCGGCCCCACCCCGCCCGTGGGGACCTCGCCCGCGCCCGGGTGCCCCGCGGCACCCCCTGGCGCTCCGTTCTCGGCCGCTCGCCTTGGCTGCCTCCCTCTCCGGCCGCAACCTTTTGTCCCCTCTCTCCGGGCAGCCTTCCCGACCCCCGTGTCCATGCTCGGTCTTTCATCCTCCTCTTCAGTCCCGACCGCTCTCCCCGCCCTGCTCCAGCCCGTTTCTCTGTCCTGCGAGTGAAGGTGAGGGCGGTGGAAGTGGGCTTTGGACGTAACATGCGCTGCTGAAGGCTCCGAGAGAGTCCATGTTCTGTTGTTTCTCCGCCCTGCGTGATGGTCTGGGGTTCAGCGGAGGTGTAAGGTTAGCTCTGTGAGTGACGGAGGTGACTGATTCTGTATTTGCACGCGGCGGTTTGCACGAAAGGTCCCGACTTTAAGCCGGTTTGGGTTATTTTTCTGTGTCGCCGTTGTTCTGAGAAGCTCAGGGGGATCAGGGGTTCTTACCATTCTGTCCCCAACCCCCAGAGTCACTGGTCTTAGCTAGCTGGGGCTTCCCAAATATTAAAAAAAAAAAATAAATTGCTGTTATTTGTCCCGAATGAGGACATCTGGAATTTAGCTCTCTGCCAGCCGTCTTGATGTGCTCAAGTCTTTTTCTAGTGTATATTGCTTGATATTGTTCCTATCATCTTCTGTACTCCTCTTTTCTCTCACTACATTCTCTGTTTTGACTTCTTGATGCTCAGCCTTTCATGTGGCTGGTCATATATATATATTTGTTAATGCCATTTCACCGTTACTTGGAGCACTTGAGGGAAAAAAAAAATACAAAAAGAAAACAGCATGTGGTATAAACAAGCTGCCTGTTGAATATTTTTCAGTGAATTCTTTTGTAGTTTGATAATTATTTCCATTTTCATGCCTTTTTTAATTTACTTTATGCCGATAGCAACTTCTGGAGTCCCGACAGAAGCACCACAAAGGCAACCCGTCTCTCCCCCCCCTCCCCCCACATGCTCGCATCTCTAAATCATCCCTTTGCATCACTGAACTCTGCAACTTCTGGTACGTCGCCCAGGGATGAGATGCTGGCTTTAGGAAGGGGCAGAGAGCTGCTTTTACCTTGACTTCTCTGAAATCCTATTGTAGGCTCTATGGAATTGCAGTTCTCTACTATGGTAGAATAGTACATGTTCCTTTGCTCCTGTTCTTATTTTTTCTGCCATTCTTTAGAGTAATGTTGGAGGTTTTGAATGTTGATTGGGGTTTTTGTTTTATATCGCATAATGCCAAAACAAATTGTAAAGAAACGTCAGTTCCAATCAGTTACCCGGGCTGCTTCACAAACTTTGGAGAGCTTTCTTTTCTTCTCCAGCATAAATGGAAATTTATGTAGGAATGTTGGCTTCTGAGTGTCTCCTTAGCAACGTGAATCCTTTACCCCTTTTTTCTGTCTCCTGAAATAGTATCCCCTTGATTGCAGAAGGACTTTTCAGATGATGTGAATGAAAACCTGCTTCCACTCTGACCCCCCTGCGCACACACCCTTTGTCGGGTCTCCCCCCCCCAGTCCATCCCCCACTGCTCGTGAGTACACACAGACACAAAGTGGGACATGAAGAAAAGCAGGGCAGCTTATGGCACAGCATATACGGCAGCTGATCTCTCTGGTTGCTTTGTTAGTTGCCTGTGTGCTTAGGGAAAGGTGGAGGATGAATCAGTACAGACAGATAGAAATAAAATGTAGTTTTGTAGGATGCTGTGTGGTGGAAATATGCCCCCTCATGGTACTTTCTTCTGCCCTGCGCTAAAATTTGACTCACTGAGTTGTGCTTGTTTTGCTTAGATACTTTCCAGTGTAGTGGAGCCAGGTTCCACAAGCTACTGGGGGAGAAGTGAGGGATTGTTTTATTTGAGGTGCCTGGAATAAGTTCTTCATTTTCCTCATGTTTGGCACATGATTCTACACTCTAAGGAGACCTGAAATATTGGAAACCATACTTTATGCTTTTGCTTTCTGCTGGTGTGTTATAATTCCCATTAGAGTCAATCGAGAGAATCCCAGTAAGTTCACCGAGTTGGTTTGGGCTCTTGTTTGAGACCATTTTGTGTCCTTGCTTAATATTTTAAGTGCACTTTCCTCCTACATCAAAAATATAGCGAGTGGTATATTTTGAAGAGAGTGGAGAGCTCCCACAGGGAAAGCTCTTTTAGCTTGATACTAACGCAAGCAGCTTTGTAGCTAGCTAGCTGTGAAAAGCAGTAGCATACACAGGCAAAAGGCATCTTCCCCCATGGTTCTCAGAGATTTACTTCATCATCCCTTGAAGGAGAGCACCTCAAGTGGCTCCATCAAGGGCAAGCTCATGCTAGAAGCTGTTAAAGCACATTCAAGGTTTAATTAAAAATCTTTGTAATTAGATGTAGGACCCCTGACTGCTATCAAAAGGGCAGCCTGGCAGCACTGAGCAGAAGGGAAGGCACAATGTGATTACATTGGCTGTTATAGCTAGCAGGAAGTGATAATTCTCAGTTTTCCTTGAGCGTTGCTGGTGCTTGGAGTATTTTCTTCGTTTGCTGTTTTCAGGCCTTTTTTCTGTAGCTTACAAGAAATCCTTTGCTCTTATACTGCTTATAAAGTTGTGTAGGTGCTGTACAGGGTTATTGGTTCAAGTGTGTGACATGGCAAGTCAGATTAATTTTTAAAATCTTAAGATTATAAAAAAGCTCATCCTCATTTGCTTTCTTCTTCTAAAGTCTACGTGAAATACCAAATACTTTTTTTTTTTTTTTTCTTTCTTTCTTGTAATTACAATAACTGGGAAGGTGTTCATGCATATGCCTCTCTCCTTTATGAAATTCTAAAATTCTCCCTAATATGAGCTTCAGGAGCTGAAGATTTGACGGAGTTGCTGGTGTGGAGAGCTTCGTGGTAAAATCTTGAGATCCAGTGTTGCTGCTCTGCAGTTTCACCAGCTGTCTTTGGCATAATATTATTTTCTCCGATTAATGCTTAAATTGGCCTCATGCACAAGTTGTCTTTAATCCTGCTGTGTTTTAAACCCACATGCTAAACTGGAAAACTTACAGTGCTTTGTGTCATTAAACAAAATTTGCTTTAAACCTAATTTGAAGTGTATTAAGTCTGATTTGCAGTGGTTCATTTACGGATTTATCAGGAGCTAAGAGTTATGATGAAAGTTCTTGTCTATATCAGCATCTGTTTAAAATTAAATATATCTTTGCTGAACTGCATGGTGAATCTATGCCTGTACAGGTAGTTGCCTTATATTTGCAGAATAAATAATAATAGATTTGAATTTATGCAATTCAGTGTACCCATTATAATTTTCTAAATCTAAGATTTGTCAGCATGATGTAGATTCCATAGAGTCTGATCTGTCAGGTATGTGTTGTATTTTAGCTTAGATACATAGATATTCATAAAAAAAGAATGGCTCCTTATGAAGCATTTCAGTTTCAGTGGAAATAGCACATATAAAAATATATTTGACTGAATGCCAGTAGACAGTATGAAACCCTCCTGATTTATGGGGGACATATGACTTTGTTACTTAAGAATCTGTATTTTTATGTAGCACTTGGTTTTCTTTAAGAGTATTACGTTATTTAAAAACTATCCATCCATGGCTATTTGAAAATTAAAACACTCTCAAAGAAATAAGTGTAGCCAGGTCCCTGTGCATATTCAAGCTTAGTGGTACACCGACCATACATGCAAGCTTAATTTACAGCTTAGAGCTGTAAAACAAGTCAAGCTTTGTGCTTATAATTCTGTTCTAATTTGTTCTTAAACATAAACAAAAATCAGAGGCTGCTCCTTTGGTAGCACTTGAAGAGGTTTAACCTAAATTATACCTTAGATGCAGATATCAGAATTAACATGGCTCAATGGTCTTAGATGGTATCTGCTTGTTTTGAATCTAAACAGTTGTTCCAAGGGAAAATTGCTAGCTTAAAAGCAGCTTCCACATTAGAAGATGTGGATCATTGCTCAGAGTTGATCTTGACACATTTGTAAAAATCTTAGCAAGTCTGATAGTTTGCTATAAAATAGCACAAGAAGAACAGATGTAATTTTACTAGGTCTGAAGAATGTAGCTCATACAATGTAAAGAGGAATTAATAAAGCATTCATTTTAGTTTTGAAAACTGTGATCAGTCATTTTTCCATATTACTCTTATTAATCATCGCTGACACTTTATCTGATGATAGGTATAAAATCAAAAGCCGTAATACCTCCACTCTTCACCTAAGACCCTGAGCAAGCTGCTCTAGCTTTGAAGTTGAGTCTGCCATGGAGACTGGCTCTGCTTTCCACAGGGAGATGGATTACATGACCTACAGAGGTCCTTTCCAACCTGATTCATCCTGTGACTCTGTGATGACTGATAACTCTGTTTATGCCTCGTGTTTGTCTGACTCCTTAAATGTGTTCAAAACACCTTGAATTTGTTACCTCTCAATTAGCTTAAATAAAGTACTTTAAAGTACACTTCCTCTTTTGTAAATGGACTGCTTGTTTTAGACAACCCAAGATTTGAGTAGTTTCAAACCACCCAAGGCCACACTTTGTGAGAGTAACAGGTCGAAGACTTCTGTATAGTAGCCTAGACCTCTCAGTATGTGTATGGGAACTGTAGAGTCACAGCCTGAACCACTGATTGATCACCTGAGACAAGGACTGGGTCAGCCGTGGAACCACAGGTGAAGGCAATTCCAGCCAGGCTGCACCCCTCCTAGACCCAATTTAAGGGCTGACCACCACTGGGGAAGGATCTCTTTCTGGAGATTCCTCCTTTTTGGAGTTTTTCACCCCAAGCTTAGATTCTCAGGTATGGGTAAGCATTCTCCCTTGATTGTTTCTTTTCCACCATGATAATCTTTCCAACTATAATACCTGTGAAGTACCATCCTTACCATGATACTCTTCCA